TTAGATGTGGGTGACGCTGATGATGGGTAATGATTATTAGATACTTTCTATCGCCGAACACGTCACACGTGAATGGCGCGCGAAAATCAGGGCTATATACATATTACAAACCTGTAACGCTCAACAAGCCATAACGGATACTTTAACTCTAAGGTGTGCCAAATATAATTATTCAGGCTTAGCGTATGGAAGTAGCTCTGCTGCTAATAGTGTAGCAATCAAATAGTCCGTTGATGTCTGGCATCATATTTACAAGAACTTGCTCACAAAACGCAATCCTACAATACGTAACCTACTGTCCACATACCCTGTTCATGTATGAATTATTTAAACGAACGCATCAACCCTGTTTGCTATAAACCAATAATTGCACAAGTCAGCATAATGTGTGCACTTACATCTACCTAGACCTGAGCCCGTTCGCTAGGATATCCAGGGCAGCGCCTTAAAATATTTGACATATTCATTTAAGATACTTGCAATTTCGCATGTATTTGTCCGATTTTACGACGCCCATTTGAAGAAAACACGTCTGTCTGCGCCATGTGAATACCTGCTGACTACAGTGACAAGAGCGGTGTCAATTCATCTAACAATATAAATCCACTTAGCACATCCCACTGGCCCTCTCTCTCGCTAACACGTCCAGCAGCAATAAGCTTCATATTTGCAGATTAAACATCCTTAGCCGATGACCACAAACTACAAAATTTAAGCAAGAATATGCACAGTAATCCAAATGTAACTGCAAACTTCGCTTGACTTGCAGTTTTTCACATCCATAAATGATAACACACAGACCAAGTTGCTTTTGGCCATAATTGGCCCTGCAGTCAGAACATGGAATGAATAAGTCACCATCGTCCGGATATTATCTTATCACTCATAACCTTAGAGTATTACCAACAGGTGAGGAATTTCTGACCTTTCATGATTATCGAGTACACAGTCTAAATCGCCATGCGTCTTTTATCCTTCTTCTCAATAACGACTGATCAACTCAATGTATGGCGTCCATTGACAGTGTTAGCTATTGCCACTGTAATGCTCATCACAGCGACACAGCAATCCTAGAATTCATCTGGTACACTTTTACATTTCCTCGGATGCACGATCGTTAGCAGTGGACGGGTAAACCAGCGTGGTTTTGGATGTTCCGCAACCATACAAGAGGACTTCAATGCATTGCTGTTTGAAGTACTCCGTGTTGGCACAGCTTAGGACTACATATGGATACACAGTACTGTCCCATTCCAAACGCGTCCGCAGCTATCTAGTAAACGGTCGTTGCATTATACGCACTAGATGGAATACGAAAATTCATGATTAGTCAAATAAACTTCACATGACACATGAACATATTATCGCTGTGGCATCAACTGCCGAATTGTTGGTGAAAAATCCGTTATCTAGTTGAAGCGATCTATTGTATGATGGAAGGTTGAAAGTCATTGAACTAATTGATGTTGCACGTCGAGCTTACAGTTCATACCCGTATCTCGAGCTTGAATCAATTCAAATAATTCTGTCTATCACGTCTAATGAAGCATAATTACCCAACGTCACAGCAGCATCTTAAAACGAAATGATCGTTTGAAACCATAAACTCAATAGCCTTTGCCCTCCTGCTGAAACGAAGTGCAACATTTTCCCATCTTTAATTGCAGACGGACAACCAACTTATGCAGTGCGACCATGATAATACACACCGCGTGTTTCTGTGCGAGATGAACCTATCAATAGTCTCCGTATACATGTATGCAACTGCAAACGCGCGAGAACAAATGGTGCCTGTTTGTCATTGCGGCCTAGGCCCCTACAAACTCTAGTACTGGTTCGGTGAAAGTTGATTTCTTTCAGCAACTCAACGATATTCTTCGTTACAGAAAAACCACAGATACTATGGTGTACGTTGGCAGTCTAAAAGCCCAAGTCGGAAAAGTCTCCTCGTACGAGCCTAATTTTGGTGGCCAACATGGTGTAGGCTCCCGTAATGATAAAGATGAATGTTGCTGCAGCTGCGTAAAGGTGCTCGTCTCTTTCTCGCGATCATAAACTTTCGACACTGCAGCCGCAGAAGCGTGACTTCACGCTCACCAGTCTCTGGCCAGCCATGGACGCAAATCGATCACATGGCTGTTAGTTACCGCTGGAGAGGGTGTGTCCAAAATTGTCGCTCGATTCGGAGCACTAGCGTGGACTCCGATCACGCTATCATGTGTGCCAAACTAAGGGTGCTTTTCCGCGGATGTCCGTACCGTCACCAGCCAGCTGGCGAAGCCAGGTGTTCTGAATGCGTATCAACTACGCTCTCATCTGGGCAGAGTAACCGTCCACTAAACAAGGACGAAGATCACTGGTCGCATATTTGTCAAACGTTACTACAAGCAGGTATGTCTTCAGGTGACAAATCAAATTGCTAACCAAGACATTGGGTCTCTAGAAACTCTCTGGAACTCATTGGTGCTCGCCGACGTATTCCGGCTGGAAGCGAATACAATGAGACTCGTAAAATTCTCAGGGCAAAACTGCGTGCTAGCATGGTGGTCTCATGGTGCGTCGTACATTTAAACAGCCGCTGCAGTTGGTAGCCATCGTATGGTTTTCCGTCAAATAAGGGTAAATAGGCAGCAGGAGACCTATTGTTAGTGAGAGAGTACACAACGAGATTGGACTGCCGATCCACAGCTTGTCAAAACACCTGGAGATTTGGGCCGAACACATTGTAACTTAGTCTAACCAATCTGAATTATCGCTTTCGTTTTCGGGCATTGAGTGCCCTTGTCCATGCGATATCGCCTTAGATCCGCCCTCAAGCGCAGAAGTCGAACGTAAGTTCAGCCTGATGAAATTGCATGAGGCCGTTGGTCCGGATAGAATTTCCCCAGCTCGCTACAAATTCGGGATGCTGCTCTTGTGGATGATTTACAAGAGTTGCTAATTGAACTTGGGAGCAGGAAACTATCCCGACAGATTGGTGCCGCTCCGTCATAGACCCAATTTTCTAGGGTGGTTCCCGTTCGGAATGTAGCAAACATAGAGGGATCAATCTGATCCCAATTACTTCCAAATTGTTTGCCTTTGTCTTTCTCTACAGACTGACTGGCGCTCTTGAAAGCCAGATCCGTGAAGAGCAAGCCGGGTTTCAATGAAATAGAGGCTGTATAGACGACATCTTCCATTGGCGTCAATTGTTGGAACACCGCCATGTTCATTGGGGACCCATCGTCGTCGTGTTTCTCGACGTCAAAGGCGCCTTCGATTCGGTTGATGAATGGCCAGTTTGGAATTGTCTACTGAGAAAAGGTGGGCCCGATAAATAGGTAAACATTATCAAAGCACTGTACGCACAGAGTTTGAGCATAGTCAAGGTTTATGGAAAACTGTCGCCGTACTACAATATCTACAGCGTTGTGAGACGAGGTATCCCGGTGTCACCTTTGGTATATAACTTCGCTATTGTTGAAGACATGGAAACGGCGTTGGCTGGACACGACCTAGAAGGCGTGGAGCTACTTGTTGGTGAGCGACTTCTTGACTTGGATTATGCGAACGAGGTGGCTCTCATATGTGACAGCTCCTAAATGTGCCAGGCTGCATTGGACCGATTAGCACTGACTGTCAATGGTTTTGGGCTAGGTTTTGCCCCATCGAAATGCAAGGTACTTCTCGTAGATCGGCAGTGACTCACCCCTGCGCTGACACTTGGCGGTAATCAGCTAGAAGTCGTTCAGGAAATCAATTACCGGTACAGCTCTATTAGTACCCGCGAGGATCGTAGCTGAGATTACAAGCCGTATAGCAAAAGCTCGTGATGCTTTTGCTAATCTCCGCAACTTCTGGCGCAGACGCGACATCACACTCCCCTGAAGGGCAGAGTGTATAATGCAGCCGTCCGTTCAACCCTCTCGTACCGTTGTGAAACCTGGCCCATCAGGTCGTCAGAAATAAATATGCTTGTCACGTTCGAGCAGCGTCATCTTCGCAGCTTCGCTATGTTTGATGGGAGCATTGCGTGAGCCATGATTGTGTTCGGCGTGACGTAATTGGTGCAGGAAGAACGATTGAACCGCTCAGTACCAGTATATCACACACGAAGCTCCGATGGCTGGGCCACGTGTTACGCATGACTGCACACCGACTCTCGCTACGTGCATTGTTTGCGCGCCGGGACTGCGGTTGGAAGAAGACGGGTGGAGGCCAAGCCATGAATTCATTGAGAGAAACGATGAAATCCCTCATTTTGAAGTTGGCGTCGGTTGGTAATTTCCGACTGCCTGGCTGGGGATCTAAGGATGGTGAGCACGTTTGTATGGCTACACTTGCTGCTATGGTTAGCAGCCGGCCCCAATGGCCTTTCTATTGTGAGTTCCTTTGTTCACCCTCTCCCGCGAAGCGTCCCACTCCACTCACGATCTCATTCGTTAGACATAATACAACCTTCTTTTTGCGAAACGGTAGCCAAATCTTACCTCTCCAGAACGATTCCCATCCGCTACTAGGGAATCAGCTCTCTCGCCTCTGTTGTTTAGATTCTTTTCCTTGTCTCTTTTGCGGCACAATAGTTGAGGTGCTTTCAACCAGCAGCTAATGTGCATAATGAGGATGAGGTTGATGATGACTGTTGATCTTCACATTGGAATTTATGGTTTGCTACATTATGATTCAGTATTCTTCTATGGTGAAACGCAAGGACGGTTTAGTCTAGAAGCTCAATGATTTCCAATAAACCTGGCATGTATGTCTGACTATAGGCAACACCAAATGTCAAAACGAGTGTGACAAGTGGGACTGATCACCAGGCAACCAAACGTTCCACACAATTGCGTGACTTGAAATTGTACTGTTCAGACGTAAAGGCTCAAGGGCTATTTGATATGGGAGGGGAAATTGTGACATCTGTGTCATTCTGCCCAATTCACCTGGTGCACTCCAAAGCATAATCAATTTGAGAAATGCTTTCTGACAGTACGAATCGTTAAATCACAAGGAACGGAGCCATTAGACAAGATGGTTGCATGGCTATAAATTCATTGTACGGTGGTCTAGTAAAATTAGGACCGCAAGAATGAATCTGTGGGTATCAATCCTGTTGTTTCTCGCCCTCGAATGCAGTGCCATTACGGACCAGCAGAAGGCAAAGCTTTTGAGCTTACATAACGATGCACGTCTCAATGTGTCGAAGTGCAAAGTTCCAGGGCAACCATCTGCCAAACAACTACTCAACCTGGTGAGCGTACTTTGAAAATATGAATGCACAGATTACGTTTCCACCCGCATCTACCTGATGCGATTATCAAGCATTTTGGTAGTTAAATGTCACACAGTGTTACCATATGTTTAAAGAACTTCCACTTAATGCTTGTTGGTACATGAATGCAAAGGGTGACCAAGATTTATCGGATGAAGGTTGGATATTGTATTGCGGTTCTTTGGTTACAATGTATCAGAATATTGCTGATAACAGTCGAAAATAATTTATGTGTAGAGGCGATTTCCATTTGTACTTTGAAACCGAACATTGCAACTAGCAAGCACTTAGCGGTCCGTTGATTGCATTACCTTTTCCATTGACAGTCTTGGGACGATGAACTAGCAGAGAAAGCGCAGCGACAGAGTGACACATGTCAATTCGGCCATAACACGAACGAGGAAAGAATCACCTCGAAATGGAGGAATTGGGTTGGGCAAAACATTGCAGGAAACCCAGTATATGAAAAGTAATGTCATATTTCTAATGTTGTTGCATTATTCACTCTATTTTTACCAGTGGATTTGCAGCTTGGTTCAATGAATACAAGGATTACAATTTTCGACGAAAGAGTTGTGCTAGAGTGTGCGGACATTATACACAAGCAAGTCAACATTGAATTGAACGTTGTGTGTCGTTCCACACAATTGCGTGACTTGAAATTGTACTGTTCAGACGTAAAGGCTCAAGGGCTATTTGTTATGGGAGGGGAAATTGTGACACCTCTGTCATTCTGCACAATGCACCTGGTGCACTCCAAAGCATAATCAATTTGAGAAATGCTTTCTGACAGTACGAATCGTTAAATCAAATGGAACCGAGCCATTAGACAAGATGGTTGCATGGCTATAAATTCATTGTACGGTGGTCTAGTAAAATTAGGACCGCAAGAATGAATCTGTGGGTATCCATCCTGTTGTTTCTCGCCCTCGAATGCAGTGCCATTACGGACCTGCAGAAGGCTAAGCTTTTGAACTTACATAACGATGCACGTCTCAAGGTGTTGAAGTGCAAAGTTCCAGGGCAACCATCTGCCAAACAACTACTCAACCTGGTGAGCGTACTTTGAAATTATGAATGCACAGATTACGTTTCCACCCGCATCTACCTGATGCGATTATCAAGCATTTTGGTAGTTAAATGTCTCACAGTGTTACCACATTTTTAGAGAAGTTCCACTTAATGCGTGTTGGTACATGAATGCAAAGGGTGACCAAGGTTTATCGGATGAAGGTTGGATATTGTATTGCTGTTCTTTGGTTACAATGTATCAGAATATTGCTGATAACAGTCGAAAATAATTTATGTGTAGAGGCGATTTCCATTTGTACTTTGAAACCGAACATTGCAACTAGCAAGCACTTAGCGGTCCGTTGATTGCATTACCTTTTCCATTGACAGTCTTGGGACGATGAACTAGCAGAGAAAGCGCAGCGACAGAGTGACACATGTCAATTCGGCCATAACACGAACGAGGAAAGAATCACCTCGAAATGGAGGAATTGGGTTGGGCAAAACATTGCAGGAAACCCAGTATATGAAAAGTAATGTCATATTTCTAATGTTGTTGCATTATTCACTCTATTTTTACCAGTGGATTTGCAGCTTGGTTCAATGAATACAAGGATTACAATTTTCGACGAAAGAGTTGTGCTAGAGTGTGCGGACATTATACACAAGCAAGTCAACATTGAATTGAACGTTGTGTGTTGTGATACACGGGACTATGCAGCGCAAGTTCATCATCATATGTCGTAGCGTGGCACGAGAGAATCTGGGGCTCTGTGTGTCGAAAATAGGTTGGATGCAATCAACAGCTTCTTGTTTGCTTTTCACTGAATTTGAAACTTGCATTGCGCATTAAACTTGCGAAAGTAGATGCAGAATTCTTATTAGTTGATAGCGGGTTCTGGGTTATGGTATTGTTCAGCGGCACGTAGCTTGTCTATTCACTTGTAATATCATGGTGTGATTCCGCAAGGCTCTATTTGCTATTTCTATTTGACAGCTTCACTCAACAGCATCACATGTTTTCCCAAAACGCTTTTGCACATACATCATTGTCATCTTAGTCTGGAGCAGTATGTAGTGAAAGGTTGTCGCCAATTACCTTTGAAGTGACCATGGGGCGGGATAGAATTGCAGAATAATTTGCTCTGTGCATAGTTAGATGGGTTCAAATACTTGGATTCTTCTAAATTTGTCAAGCTACAGCAAACGTATTGGCAGGTCACCTTAGAGCATCTGTGCCCACTAACGTAGTTTATTGATCGATTGAGTACTTTAATTAGGAAGAAGAAACAGCATTACCTGTGTAAAAATCCGAATCATACAACTGTATACAAGCGAATCTCCCTTATGGATAGCAACTAAAGTAATTTGCTCATATCAGTGGAAAAACTCTGAGTAAGCAACTTGTTGCAACTATAAGAGAAATACTCATGAACTCTGATGCTGCGACGATATAGCCCATATTACGAAACTTGTTGGAGTAGGATCCGTATTCTCCAAACATGCATACTTGACTATAAACGCAGATGCACTATATGTGTTACAGACTAAAGTATAACAAACAAATAACCGCGGGCTAGACTTGGCTTCGGACCTCAAGTGTGATGCGGCACCAGCCTGGGACATTTGTCATGTAGCTAAGTAGATAGGTATTATTTTGCAGACACATTTGCTACGGAGCATAGTTAAAAGTTAGTAAAATGTTCGACTCCTATTCACTCTCAGAATAATTCTTAGACAACAATAGTCACTGAAGAGACAACCAATTGCTCTGAGACCAATAGATGTTTTCGAAGAACGCATGATCACATTACACTGTCAAGCCGTCCATTGTACATTAATTTTGTTAGTGCCAAGTCCTGATTTACTTGTTGCAACTTGTTGCAACTATAAGAGAAATACTCATGAACTCTGATGCTGCGAAGATATAGCCCATATTACGAAACTTGTTGGAGTAGGATCCGTATTCTCCAAACATGCATACTTGACTATAAACGCAGATGCACTATATGTGTCACAGACTAAAGTATAACAAACAAATAATAGATGGTATATTGCAGACAAATGTGTGACACACAGATATTGGCTTAATTGAAAATCCCCATATAAGGGACAGAGAAGAACAAGACCGTTTCGTAAGCAAATGCTATCACTGATTAATCCTCAGACAACTACAAACATATACAGGGTAAAAACAGAGTAAAATCAGCCTCATCAGTACAAGTAACACAGAGTAAAGCCGAAACTGGTTAATTACATACGACGGAGTTTGAGCTCAGGCCGTTGTTATCAATATCCTCCGTTTTCGCATCTCATTGAAACTGATGAGCCTGGACCAGCTTATTTTGCCAGCATAACGAAGGCTGAAATATTCGCAGCAAACAACGTTGCCCGTCGCAAATGTATGAAGGCTTGACCATTTGATCGGTTCGAGGAAAAACTATCGTTATCACGGGAAATGTTGCGCTTCAACAATCCAAAAATTCTCATTCATTGGAATGAATAAAGGGAGGCAGAAAATGAGTGAAGAATACTTTTCGGTAATTCTCAACAGAATCAAACATTTGATGATGACGACGACAAAGTGCTAAATGTGCCGGATTGGGCTGCGTATTGTTCAGAATGCTTAGTTTCAACAGGAAGAAGTCAATAAATCACGGGGTCATTGAAGTTGACAAAGTATGTACAGGGGAATTCACAGCCGAATTTGTAGGCCAAGATAGAAAATAAAGGACCTATAAACAGTTTTTGTACACACAATTCTGGCTTGAGTTGGCGGATGTAGATAGCTTCCTCAATAGAGAGGAGATGCTTCCGGAATCCGCACGAGAAGCGTTCAGGGAAAGTATAGATGACTCTGAAATCGTTTTCTGTCCTTACGTGGCAACACTCCAGAGGGTGAGACAAGGTGGAGATGTTACCAGACCTCGCTTTTTCATTGTAAAACCATCTCTGGTTGTGTTCGCGGATCCTATGAGATAGGCGCCTCGTAGTACCACTTACATGGGACACAAACACCAAAGAATTACAGAGGATGGGCGACGCGCTAACAGCGAATGTGTATCCAGATAAATTCATCCTCAAAGATTTGAAAGAACGCAGGATAAAACCACCGAGGATGAGCCTACCTAAGGAAGAGCCAATAGTGCATGTTCCTTTCAAATGCGACAGTGCGGTCCATGCCCTGTCCAAACGCCTGGAAGACGCTGTTGCATAGACCTATTTCGCGGCTCGCTTACGCACAGCATTTTACAACAAGCCTTTATTCGCAACACCTTTGAAAAGGAGGCTGACTCCGGTGACTCGATTAATGATTCTTTATCTTTATTCGTGCTATTGTGATGCGTACTACGTGTACCATACTACGAGGCGCCTATCTCATGGGACCCGCGAACAAATCCAGAGTTGGTTTAAAATTTCGCCCGATCTGAGAAACCAACATTGAGCACGTATGCATGGGCAACCTATCCACGTTTCGTAAATGGATAAGTGGTTCCATTAAAAGCACACGCTTTAGCGCATCTGCTGCAAAGGTCGCATTAATTGCGCCCGAAGAACTTCGAGTTACACGCTCAGTAACTGCGACCCTTTTGAAAGACAGTCCTAAGAATAGCTCTTTCTTTGCAGCTGTTAACATTGGCAGCAGTTTAGGCTTTTCTCCAAGGTTGCATTAAATAAATATCGGGTATTCATTTGCGCGCAACGTATTCGGTATGAACGTCAGTATCGCGTCTAGGATGCTTCCCAAAATATTCGACGTGCTCTCGAGGTAAGACAGTGAATCAATTTGCGCTTATACCTTAGAGAAACGAAATTGTGCAAATTCGTATACTGGCCAATCCATGTTTTATGCCTCTGGATGGAGATGTCTAGTATCTTTGGTACCAGCACATCAAGATACGGCAGCTACTTTTCGTTTTCTTTTCAGAAATGAAATGCAGTGCTGCAAGGGCTCGGTTAAAACGATTACGTATTACGCCTAGGTTAATGTGCTCATACATCACAAAGAATATGTCGTCCATTTAGCGATGCTAACGGTTAAAAGTGACTATCGCCGGCTTCATTGCGGTTCTCTCCAACTTTGCCATGAAGATATCCCCCAGTGATGGATCCAGGAGAGAGGGCATGTCATCGTCGTACTTCTGCTGGTGGTATTTGCCGTTAAAAGGGAACTTTGCATTCTATGTGCAGTGCAAAATTAGGCTTTTAGCTCACAAGTGGATATTTTCAATTTTAATTTTGATCGAGTTATATAGTCGCAAATTAATCTGCTGTCCATTATCAGCGGGACGTTGGTAAATGTGAGACAATATCAAAAGAGGGTTAGTCATTCCATCAATTTTGGCATCGTTGATGCTTTTTACAAAGTGGAAGCTGTCACCTTGGCTGTAAGTTGCAATCTGCTGCCTCACTGGTTCTAGAATTTCTACAAGCCACTTAGTGACATCATGATGGGTCGAATGGACCACTGACAAAATGGGACGGAGTGGAATGTTGGCTTTGTGAATTTTCGGTAACCGGAAAGTCCCGGAAAGTTTGTGCCTCTAGTTTTGAGGCTGTTATACACAGCATCTGAAATGTACCCTTAGTCTGCAGTTCTTGCTGACTCTTAGCGATTTGCCTTTCAATTTCTTCCGTCCGGTCATTTTTCCGCTTCGTTGCAAGATAATTTGGTCGCATCGCTTAGTATTGCTGTGAGTTGGTCGATATGGTTTTGTCTGTTTAGTAGCCCAATCCCTAAGGCCCTCACTTCTGTGCTGGCCTCGGTTAGAGCTTCACGGCTCCCTGATTGCGGTCCAAAAGACGGTGAACATATTTGGCTGGATACAGTTGCTGACATGGCAAGGAGCCGACTTCAGTGGCGTTCCTGCTGTGAGTTTCTTTTCCCTCTCCATAAATTTTGGCCTCACCCTCCACCTACGACCAAATTTCTTAGCGTAAAACATAATAATTTTTTTCTTTTTGCCTATTAGGCGTCTGGTAGCTTGCCGGAACGATGCCTATCCGCTGCTGGTAGCCCAGCTGGCATGCAGCATTTGTATTTATTTTGCTTTTTCATTTATGTATTGCGGCACAGTAGCTGAGGTGTTTTCCACCTCTAGCTGACGTGTATAATTACATAATGATAAGCATAATCCCTGCACTCCTGTCTGGTCTACTTATGATGAATTCCTTATTGTGCTGAAGTTCTTTCAACACATCCAAGTCTTTCCGTCGTAGCGGGCCATGATTATGGACGCAATGCTTGCAATATTGGTAATAGCATAGCACCAAAACGAACCTAAAATTTCCCTATCCCTATTTGACGTAATGACTACCCCGTTCCTCTGGCCATGTGGCGTACCTTGTCTCAGGAGCGATCGGAAATAATTTTGGCTAAGATGAGAGATTGTGCCGATCATTCTGTGGTCGGTCCCTAGTCGCTTTTTGTAATATCCGTATATCCCTTAGAGTTGTACTGACTTTGACGCCGTCAACATCAATCCACGTACGTGGTTGGAATAACCGTCAACAAGTTCAGATGATACGACGAGCGCGATTAGGCGATCTGCGCTGCATAAAGGCGAACATAGGAGGCGCAATAAGAAGGTAAAATTAGGTTTTTATTTGAGAAAAAGTTGGACCTATTCCCGTGCAAGTTGTGGCA